TGCCCAGTTCACAGATGAGGAAGCCCAGGCCACTAGGGTGGCCTCCGAAGCTGGTGGAGGTTGAGGTGCAAGTTTGCGGGGATTGGTTTGGATCCCATCCGCATCCCATTGCTACAGACACCCTCGTTTATCCCTCACCAAGCGGGACACCATCCAGGAACCCCCAGCACTGAGGGTGTGGGGGCGCTGGAGTCAGGCAGGCCCTGGTAAGCTGAGAGTACAGATCTGCCTGAGTGGCCCTGGGCAATCCTGACATCCCCCACACAGTAAGACACCTCATAGGTTGGCGGGGGAGTGCACGACTCTCAGGAATGTCCTATGAATTGGCAGAACTCAGGCTGGCTGTTCCTAGCCTCTAGCTATGCACAGTTTCCTAAAAAGAGGAAGCAGTATCCTGGGACCAACCCACAGCCCACCAGCTCTGGGCACCCCTAGGGCCCCTCAGACCGTGGGGGACCTCACAGCAGCCCCCCAGTTCGTGGCTGTCAGTGAGAGGCACAGTGTACTGAGCACCACTCCATGCCAGTCCCGCACCACAGGCCATCCCTGTGGCCCATCACGTGACCAGGCTGATTTCTTCCTGGGACCGGGGCTCTTTGCCCAGCTCTTTCCACTGCTTTGAAAGTGAAAAGGTGTGTGTGATGGGGTGTGCCCTTGTCACGGCAAGATGATGACCATCCATCCAAGCAAAGCAAAATCAAAACAGGTATCCTCTTCCCCCAGAACTTCCCACCTGTTTTCAGGTTTATATGTGGTTTGTGGAATAGGATTTTAAGGGCACCCCCAGCCTGTCTGGTTCAGTGGGCTCATGGCAGGCTGGTGGACCACCCCCTGGCAAGAAGGTGCCGCTGGGAACACTGCCTTATCCAGCCCCCTCGATCCCTTCTGTTATTTGGCTGATACTGTCTCTTTTTTTCCACCCCGCTTTTATTCTCAACATAACATTGGATTAGGCAGGGAACCAGAGTCATCGAGCTTTTTTGATCCAGACATTTCCCAGAGTTTTCCTGGGCGATTTCTTCTATTCCCTTAAGGCAAAGAACATAAACTAGAAAACCATGATAGGCCTGAGAGGAAGCAAAAATCCAGCATTAAAAAGTGTTTTTCTTGTATAGACATGGTGACAGTTTTATCTTAAGTCATGTTATACTGAGAGGATTTTCAGCAGGTCCTGGGTATCCGGGAAGAGTTATAAGAGCGTATTAATCAGCCCCTGTATAGATGAGAAACATGTGACAGGGTACCAAGTAGAGAAGCAAAGCTTTGGAATTTCTTAAAATATTTTTAAAAATTTATTTATTTAAATGGAGGGACTGGGGCTTGAACCCAGGACCTCATGTGTGCTAAGCATGCGCTCTACGCTGAGCTATTCCCTCCCTGCTGGAATTTTAATAGCTGGTAATTATTTGGGACCTAGAACTCCCTAACTTTTATCTCTAATCTTCTACTGTGATTCTTGCTTTACCCTGGCACACAATAATTGAAGACATGGTTAACTTTTAAAGTTCTATTCTTATGTCAGGTTTTGAAGCCGGATTTGAGTTGTACCTGTTGTCTTGAGGAGATGCTCAGATGGGCTCTCACTTCCTGCAGGGAAGGCATCTTCCCCTGCTCTCGTGTGGCCTAAACATAACTAAGCAGATGTTTCCTTGTTCTGAAATGCCTACGCAGAAATCCAGAAAAATGCATTTCAAAGCAAGAGTCTTGGGCAGTTTTGTAACAGAATGTACTTCTCAGGCCTCACCAATGACCCCGTGAGAGCTGGTGTGCAGGGTTTCAGGGCACTGACTGTTTATCTACCCAGAGATGTGCTCTCATCACAGGCAGCAACACCCAAAGGATATTTGAGGCCAAGCATGATGGACATGGTGAACTGTAAGCTTCCAGGGGTAAGGCTGAGCTTCCCCCTCAACCCAAGCAAGGCTGTTCCACACAGCAGCACCACAAAGATGCAGGGAAGAGAAAGCATCAAAAAACAAAAGAAGAGGGGAGGGTATAGCTCAAGTGGTAGAGTGCACGCTTAGCATGCACAGGGTCCTGGGTTCAATCCCCAGTACCTCCATCAAATAAATAAATAAGTCAAAAAGAAGAAGGAGGAGGAGGAGAAGAAGGAGAAGGGGAAGGGGAAGGAGGAGGAGGAGGAGGAAGAGGAGAAGGAACTGTCCTCATCTCAGTAAAGACCATCTACGAAAACCTGTTGGCTGCTACACCAATGGGCATTCCCTTCTGATCGGGAAAGTAAGGATGCCCACTCTCACCACTTGCATTCAGCATTTTCCTGGAGGTTCTAGCCATGGCAAGTAAGTGAGAAAATGAAATAAAAGGAATCCAGACAGGAAGAAGTAAAATGAATTCTAGTAACGTGATCATATGTATAGAAAATCCTAAAGAATCCACACCAAAAAATATTAGAACTAATAAACAAGTTCTGCAATATAAGATTAATATACAAAAATGAATTGCATTTCTATACAATAGCAATGAACTATCTAGAAGTGAAATTAAGAAAACAGTTCTGCTTACATAGAATCAAAAAGAAGAAATTTATTTATAAACATACTTAGAATACATTTAACCAAAGAAATGCAAGACTTGTACACAGAACACTACCAAACATCATTGAAATAAATTCAGGAAAGACATCCCATGTTCATGGACTAGAATTCTTAATATGGTAAAGGTGGCAGTACTCCCTAAATTGCAGTTTCCATTCAGTCCTTATCAAAATCCCAACTGCCTGTTTTGCAGAAATTGTCAGTGGAATGCTAGGGACCCAGAATAGCCAAAAAAATTTTGGAAAAGAACAAAGCTGGAGGACTCACACATCCTGATGTCTAAATGACTACAAAGCTACAGAAATCAAGACAGTGTGTTACTGAAATAAGAACTTACAGATCAGTGAAACAGAGTTGAGAGTCCAAAAACATGGCCAATTAATTTTTAAAAATTTGTACCCAATGTAAATTTGTGACCAATTAAATTTATGGCCAATATTTTGCCAATTAATTTTTTAAAAAATAGATTTTGTTTTTTAGAGCAGTTTTAAGTTCACAGGAAAGTTAAACAAAAGGTGGAGTTCCCATATACCCCCACTCCCTACACAAGCACAGCCTCCTCCATTATCAACATCTGCCCAAGTGGTACATTTGCTATAGTTAATGAACCTGTATTGACACATCGTTATCACCTAAAATCATTTACATTAGGGTTCTCTCTTGGTGATGTACACACTATAGGTTTCGATGAATGTATAATGACAGACACCATTACAGTATCATGCAGAATTGTTTCACTGCCGTAAAAACCCTCTGTGCTTCACCTGTTCGTCCCTCCCTCTCCACTAACCTCTGGCAACCCCTGATCTTTTTACCGTCTCCACAGTATTGCCTTTTCCAGAATGTCATATAGTTGGAATCATACATTAGGTAGCCTTTTCAGATTGGCTTCTTTCACTTATTAATATGCGCTTAAGATTGTCTTATGTCTTCATGGTTTGATAGCTCATTTCTTTTTAGCGCTGAGTAATCTTTCTTGTCTGGACGTACAACAGTTTATTTATCCGTCCTACTGAAGGATGTCTTGGTTGCTTCCAAGTTTTGGCACTTATGAATAAAGCTGCTATAAACATCCATGTGCAGGTTTTTGTGTGGAGATAAATTTTCAATTCATTTGGGTAAATATCAGAGTGTGATTGCTGAATCATATGGTAAGAGAATGTTTAGTTTTGTAAAAAATTACCAAAGTGGCTGTACCATTTTGTGTTTCCATCAGCACTGAATGAGAGTTCCTGTTGCTCCACATCCTTACCAGCATTTGGTGGTGTCAGTGTATTGGATTTTTGCCATTCTAAGAGGTATGTAGTGGTAGCTAACTATTTTTCTAATCTGCATTTCCCTGATGACATATGATGTTGAGGATTTTTTGATATTCTTATTTGCCATCTGTATATCCTCTTTGGCGAGGTGTCTGTTCAAATATTTTGCCCATTTTTAATCAGTTTTTGGTTTTCTTAGTGTTGACTTTTAAGGGTTCTTTGTATATTTTGGATAATAATCCTTTATCAGATGTATCTTTTGCAGATATGCCTCCTAGTCTGTCTGTGGTTTGTCTTCTCATTGTGCTGATAGCAAATCGATTTTTGAGAAGAGTGCCAAAACAATTCAATGAGGGAAAGAATAGTCTTTTCAAGAAATCATGTTGAAACAGATGAATATCCTCATGCAAATAAATGAATGAAGTTGGACCCTTACATCATACCACAGACAAAAATTAGCTCCAAATGAATCAAAGACCTCAATGTAAGAGCTGGAGCTATAGAACCCTGTTGTGAGATGGTTGAATTAACATTTGTTAAGTGGAGCCCTGAGGGTATTGGATGGTGAGCCGCTCTTCAACAAGAGACCATGAAGGAATTGAAGTAGAGAAGTTTGTTATTCACAGATCCCAGAGGAGGTACACAGCACACCTTGAGGGGCCACACCAGGCGGTTAAGGCGTTGTGTGGGCAGAGAACATGACAGGACCTGGGAGACATGCCTTTTTTAGGGTCTGCAGGTGGAGTGCTTTGGGGTTCCCTGGCTGAGTCTGGATTGGTCAATTCAGAACAATGAGAATGGGGTTTTGGTAAGCTTATCTAAGGATCACTCAAGGGGCTGGTCTGGGAGGTCAAGGAGAATGCTTATCATAAGGGCAGTTGAGGGATTCATGTCAAGAACTTAAATTACCTGTGACCTGCAGGCTGTCATCTAGGGCATGCACTCTTGGGAGGAGTGAATTATCAGCTGAAGATCCCTGCAGGCTACTCGGCCACACAAAGTAGGTGCTGATATAGCAACATTATCAAGTAGTTTAAGTAAACTCTCAACAAACTCTTACAAGAAAACATAGGAGTAACTCTTTATGACTGTGCATTGGGCAATGGTTTTGTAGGCAGATAGTGTACAGGGTCCCCAAAGGAAGAGAACCAGACATAACTTTGTCGACATAACCAGACCAACTGGAATCCAAAGAATGCTAATGTGGACCTTTGCTGACTTCTATGACTTCAATCAACTAGAGTCTGGACTCTGTCAAACTATGCCCCAATTCTATGCTGAATTCTCCTCTGCTCTCAAGCTCCTTCACGGATATGCATACACCACCCAAGCTCCTCCATAAATATGCATACATCCTTAGCTTAAATCTTCCCCAATTTTGCTGTTCAGGGAGATATCCCTGGAGTTCTCCTTATTTGCTGTGAGTAATAAATCCTTTCTTCTCCTGCTCTTTGACTTCATTGTGTCTTTTGGTTAGATACCCACCAAGAGGCGAACCCAGTTTTTGGGTAACAGTTTCATAAATATGCTACCAAAATGTTCAAGCAAACTAAGAAATATATAGATGAATGTGAGTTCATTAAAATTAAAAACTTTTATGCTTCAAAGGATACCACCAAAAAAGTGAAAAGATAATCCAGAATGGAAAATTTTGCAAATCATGTACCTGCTAAGGGGATTGTATCCAGAATATATAAAGAGCTCTCACAACTCAATAACAAAAATGCACAAAGGATCTTGACAGTTCTTCAAAGAGGATATACAAATGTCCAGTAACCACATGGAAGGATTCTTAACATCACTAGTCATTAGGGAAATGCAAATCAAAAGCACAGTGCAATGCACCTCTAGGATAGCTATAGGCAAAAAGTCAGGTAACAACACGTGTTAAAGATAATGTGGAGTCATTGGAACTCCCTTACACTGCCGGTGGGTGCGGCTGCTTTGGAAAACCATTTGGCAGTTTCTTAAAATGTGAAACAGGAAGTTACTGTATGATCCAGCCATTCTGTTCCTAAGTATATACCTAAGAAATGAAAACATCTATCAAGACAAAAACTTGTACATGAATTATCACAGCAGCGTTACTCATAATGGCCAAAAAGCAGAAATAATCCAAATATTCACCAACTGAAGATGGGTTAAATATGAAATACCCATACAATGGACTATTATTTATCTATGAGAATAAATAAAGTGGTGAGAAACATAGATAAATCTTGACAATATTATGCTAGGTGAAAGAAACCAGTTACAGAAGATTACATATTGTATGATTTCAGGCACATCTATAGAGACAAAGAGCAGATTAATGGTTTCCAGGGGACTGGGGAGAGGGGAGGGCAATGGGAGGTGACTGCTAATGGGTGCAGGGATTCTTCCTGGGGTGATCAAAATGTTCTGAAGTTAAACAGTGGTGATGGTCGCACAATTCTTGGATATACCAAAAACCATGGAAGCATACATTTTAAGCTGGTGAATATTATGTTATATGAATAAAATTGTTATAAAAATAAAAGATAAAGCACCAAAGTGTTTGCAAGAAAGAACCCCAGGGACAGGAAGAGTTGAGTGGCCAGAGACAGGTGAAGCCTGCTAAATAGAGGAAGGTTAAGAAGTTGAGAGACCACTGTTTCTCCCCAGACAGGCCCCTTCTGCATTGCTGGACTCAAGTTAAGGCATTACTCCTCTGACTCCTCTCAGTCACTCAGACGACATGCCACATGTGATCCAGTTGGCCCTACATCCTTCTGCCTCCCGGAACTGTCATTTCTGTTAGCATCCAAACAACATTGCTCAGATCAGCTTATTTATTTCAGTTAGTCCAGGCCTTCCCCAGTTTCTGGGAGCTTTGTGGTGGGGGGAAGGAAGGCAAAAGAAATCTTACATTTCTCCCAAGTCATTGTGATCTTTCCCTACACTTTTGTCTGTCTCCTGCAGCTTCTGTCCTCTCTTGTCCCCTTGCTGGACACTCCCCTCCCCAATCTGCTCTTCTCCCCAGGGCCAAATTTAGCTCAGACTCCACCCTTCAAAGTCCACCAGCATCTTGCCCCATATTACCTCTCCCAAATTCCCCATCACTTGTCACCGTGGACCAGTTTCCCAGCTCTTCCTTCTCTTGTCCCCCAGCCCTGGCCATGGCAGTCACATCTGTCCCCACCTGCTCCAGCCCTTACCAGAGGTTCCCTCTCTCCCATTTCCCATCACCTTCTCTGCCCAAGGCTGGCCCTAGTTCCTTGCACCCATCGTGGTGGGCCTCCCTGGAAGAGGAGGGTTTCTGGTTTTCCAACATCACTCCCTGGAAACCCTAGTTAGCTGCTCGACCCTTCTAACTTCCTGACCACATTCTCTGAAATCTGCCCGAGCAAGGGAGGAGTGGGGAGCTGAAGAGTTAGCCCCATGGAATCCATGGCGGTGGTAGGGGGTGTTGCTCGAGCCCAGACCTTCTGAACTGCTGCTGTGAACACACCATCCCATGCCTCCGAGACCTAGCAGTGGTAGGCAGGGTAGGAAATCTGGATTTTGCATCTATGTTTTTAATTTTACTTTATAGTAATTCATAATTTATATTTATTTGTATTTTCTTTAATTAACTCCTCTTAGGTCCTGCCTTCTCCATGAAAATTCCAGTGTATTTGGGTTGTGCTTAGAACAGCCAAGAAAGGGCTCGTTTCTTGGGTCGGGTAAACACGACTCTCCCACGTACCAGCAGCAGGGATGGGGGGCATCCTGGGAGGGTGGTGAATTGAGGGTATCAGTCACCCTTCCAGGAACCTTGGAAATTCTATGTCCTTTCGCCAAGGTGTGTGAGCAGGTTGGTAATTCTCTGGCCTCCTGCAGTGACCACCTGTGGGATCTCCTGCCCCATCCTCCCCCTAAATAGCCGAGTCAGCCCACCTTGCTGCCGGTTGGCCCCACCCACCCGGGAAACCCAAGCCCCTGGTCCGGCCGCGGTCAACTGCCCTCCGCGCTGCAACCTCGCTGTACCCGGCCTGCCCTGCCCCATCCAGCCCACCCACCCAGCTTTGCTGCTTGGAAAACTCGCGATATTTTCGGACCCATGCAGAAGCCCCGCCCCCTGGAAGGCGGAACTTTCCCCAGTTTCGCAGCGCCTCCTTCCCGGAACCTACCTCGTGGCCGGTACCTCGTGCTCTGGCAGGAGGCGGGGTAATGACGTCAGCGCAGGTTGCTAACTGAGGAGCCCTTGCACGTGTCTGCTCCAGCCAAGTCTGCAAAGCCCTGTCAGTGATGAGCCCTGTCACTTCCTACACCCCGTGCAGCAACGCAAAGAGATCGCATTTTACAGATAAATTACCCGGCCTCCCTTTGTGGTTACTCAGCAGGCGCCAGCCCGCGGCTTCCTGCCACCGCAGTACGAGACCTTCCTGTCGCCACTTCCCGCCCAAAGTGACGACCAATCAAAAGAGAATTCGCTGGTCAAGGAACAGGCCAATTGCCATTAGGATCCTGGCCTGGGGCCCGCCCTCGAGGCTGTCGGGGCCAATGGCAGTTGCTCGGCCTGCGAACCAATCAGGACACGGCGTGCAGTGCGGCGGGCCGGCAGTTGGGCGCGTGGTGTCGGACAAAGAGGAGTTGGGCGCACAGCGAGCGGCTTAGCGGTGACCACCATGGTACGGGCGGTGGGGCCCAGAGGACCCGGCGGGACGGACACAGGGGACCAGGAGTCAGGCCTGGACGGGCGGTGGGACCCAGTGGACGGGACGGGATGGGATGGCACAGGGGCCTGGGGGTCAGGCCCGGGTGGCGAGTTCATGTCCAGAGCATGTGGGTCGGGGCAGGCGATGGACACACTCCACAGATTCTTCCTTCCGAAGGTAGCACCAAGGGTTGTACTTAAACTCCAGTTTGTCTTTGCTGTGAGCTCATGAGGGCACTTACAAGAATAGGCCTTGAAATAATAACGATATAAGACGGCATATGCCATAAAAACCTCGCTTCATCCATTAGAAGGGTTGTTTGTTTTTGTTTTTGTTTTTTTAAGCAAAACCAAGCACACAAGAGTAGGTATGTGTACGTCTCCCCTTTCTCTTGCCTTGTTTTTTCATTGTGCAAACAGCCCCCGTCCCTCTGCATCAGCGGCAAAGAGCTGATCCTTGTTTACTGCTGTGGAGTATTCCAGGGCGTGGCTGAGTTCGGCTTTCAGTCGCTGAATATGTGGATGTTCTCCAGCCACTCACACCTAGAGTGTCAGTGAGGAGTGTGCATGCACTGTTTCTCACTGGGGTGGGTGTATATGGGATGTCAAATTTCTTTCCATCAGCAACGTGTATATGAGAATTCCTGTTTTCCCACAGCAGGGTAGGCTTCTGGCTTTAATTTATTCATTTTAACGTTCTCAGTTCATAGGTATCTAGGTGATTGTTGAATTAATTATGTTACTGGTTTACATATGGATGAAATCCCACCAACACCTCTGTCATTATGCACGTCTAAAGCCAGTGGTGCCCAAGAATCCGCTTTACGTTGAGAGGCTGGAATAACCCCCGTCAGGACTTTGCATGGTCCAGTTCATGTCTCCCTTGTTCCCTGTTAACTGAGATTGATGTCCCCTCAGCTCCTGTGTCCTCTTCTGATCACCGTGGTAGCTTCCAGACTATGAATAAAGTAGGTGACGAAATAACTCACTAGCTGCTGCATTCTCCCTTTGCAGAAGTTGGTTTTGAGGCTTCTCTTACTGGTCATTGCACAGCATGAAATCAAACTGCTCAAAAGTTTTTTGTTTTTTTGTAAATGTGAATTATTCTAAGTATAAAGGAAAGGTGTCTTCTGTTACCTGACAGATAAAAGAAAACTTCAAGATTAGGAGAAACTTGTGCATTTCATCATTTGTAGGAGCTGTTATTTTTAGCAAAGGCTTTGTCTTAAGTATGAAAAATATCATGATTAATACTTTCAGAAGAGCTGTGCAGCCATTGTTTGCTGGTGTGCCAGGGTCTTCTCAAGTTGAATGCTGAAATTCACAATACTTAGTTTAACCAAATAATTAGGAAACACCTGTTGAGGGGGTGATGAGTTGGTGTGAATATAACCAAAGAGAAATGACTCTGGCCTCTGAGAGACTGTTGGCCATTACAAATGCTTTCCCTTTGTTGGAAGGGTTTGTGTCTCAAGATGAAGTTAATGGGAATCCCAGCAGCAGAAATTTTGTTTAAATCCTGGTTTGTGCATCCTAGAGCCTCATCACAAAGCTAAGCACCTTCTGCAGAATTTGTCCCTGCCTTGCAGGGTAATTTTTTCTGGCTCAGTACTAAAGTTTGGCTGGAATAAGAATTAGAGAATCAGCTATGACTTGGCCCTTGTCTGTCATTTACTAGAAACACAACCAGAAGCTGAATTTCTGGGCTTCTAGACCATCACTAGGAGAATCACAAATCTGGGTTAGGAAATTAGAAACAATTTGAAGCAGTTTGAGCTTTCTGAACTGTAATGTGATGGTAATTTTATGATGGGGAAATAATACCCATGCTTAAAATTATGTGTCTCATGATGTGGCCATTTTGATGGCCTGTTTTGTCTTCATTCTGGTTAACTTTTCTTGAGTGAGCGTCAGCAGTGTGTGTCAGGAATCTGTCCGTTTCATCTGTGTTGTTGAATTTACTGGCATAGTTGTTCATAATATTCCTTTATCCTTTCAATACCTTAGTGTCGGCCGTGATACCCTCTCTTTTCATTCCTGCTGTTGGTCATTTGTGTCTCTTTTTCTGGACTAGTTTGGCCAGGGGCTTATCAATTTGATTGTTCAGCTTAAAGAACTAGTTTTGGCTTCACTGATTTTTGTTTTTCTGTTTAGTTTATTTCTGTTCTTCATTATTTCCTTTTTTCCTGTATAATTTGGATATTTGCTTTTTTTCTAGTTTCTTAAGGTAGAAGCTTAGGTGTCATTGATTTTGAAATTTTTTAACAAATTCTTGTGCCTGTGCCTGTGCCTGTGTTGGTCTGTAGTTTCCTCATGACTGTCTTTGGTTTTGCTATCAGGGTAATGCTGGCCTCATGGATGAGTTAGGAAGTGTTCCTGTCTTTTCTGTTTTCTAGAAGAATTTGTAGGGGAGGAAAAATTTTTCTCTACTCTTCTAGGTTCTTTTTGTTGGTCTAATAATCAAATTGACAGAAGACAGGTTAACATGAGAAAAACAAATTTACTTCTGTACGAACGGAGGCCGTGTAGGTATAGGACCTAAGAAGTGACCAGAGTAGGCTGTTTATAAACCTTTTTCGACAAAGAATCACTTACTTGTGTAGATTTGACAAAAGAAAGAGGTTTTTGCTTGGGTCAGCAAGTTAAAGAAGTAACACAGTTTGTTTATGCAGCTTTCTCAGCCTTGAGCCCCAGTCTCAGGGACCATGGTGCCCCCCTCCCACCCCCCACGTAGGGAGGGTGCTTCCCTGCAGCTTTGTTTCCTGCTTCCAGGGGAGCAAAGGGGGGTCAGAGTGTTCTTGTACCAGCTGTTTCTCATGTAACTTTAATTCAGAGTAATCAATATGTCACCTTGGCATATCTGGGGCGGCTTACCCTGAGCCCTGTCTGGTTTTACAGGTCACTGACTTTAGACCTTTATATACAGATACACATGTATTTTCCTCTGAGGGCTGTTCCAGCTGCATCCCACAGATTTTGCTATGTCATGCTTTCATTTTCCTTCCATTCTTTACTTCCTAATTTGCCTTGTTATTAGTTCCCAAATATTGGGGGGGGGTTCAGATATCTTTGTGTTACTGATGTTTAATGTCATTCCAACATTCAGAAAACATTTTGCATCATTTGAACTTTTTTTATTAAGACCTTTATTAACAGGTGCTTGCTGTCTGTTGAGTTTTTGAAAATATCAAGGTGTAAACTTTTATTACAAATTAAAAATGAGATTCTTAAAAACTAAACCGTCCCAGATATGAAACAGTTAAAAAACCTTTAAATGTATGTTGAGAAAAGCCAGGCTTTTGGAAAAACCCCAGGTTTGTCATTACCGAAAAGAGATGTCTTCAGGTAAAAACAATAAAACCCCAGGCTGCACAGATAGCTCAGGTGCTTCCAGTTTATCCAGTCCCTGAAGGTCTTCAGCATCAATCTGTTGTTCGTTTCTCATTGCTGGGATTTACTTTTGCTGGACTACCACTCCGGAGACGGTAGAGATGGTCAGCCCACCCTGCTCGGCCTCAGGAGCGGACAGGCTGCTTCTGTCTTTGCCGTCTTGTGGGTTGGGGTTTTCAGGGAGTCTCTGTCTGTAATTGAGGTTGTGGCGGTGCTGACGTTGCCGTGGCTTCTTACATTAGGTCATCTTAGTTTTCCTTGTCTTTGTGGCGAGGAGGGCCCCTGCGGAACTGAGGTCTATAACCCAATACAGGTTCTGCCTCATGGGTCTGCCTTGTTATCTGCACCCTGGGCATCGGCCCCTCCATCCTTCCCCTGCCCAGGAACACTGAATACTGTGGTCACCCCGTGTGCTGAGCTGGGCACCGTGGCCTGCGGCAGGGCCCCCAACCCCTCGTTCTTCGCCACTGTCCCATTGCGGTAATTCTGCTGGTCATTGCATGGCAGACCCTGGCGACATGGATAGTGCCGCAGCGGTCACGGTCTGCCACGTACTCCCTGTCCTGCACTGGGGCTCAGCAGGGCCTGTCACACTTGCTGCCTCCGCAGCCTTTTTGCTTCAGCACCAGACTGCAGGCCTCTCCATCTCCTGTGCTGCCAAGTGCTCCTCGGGGCTGTTCCACTCTGTGGCAGTCGGGCACACAGGGACATCTTCCTTGTGTCCTGCCTGTTGGTGAAACCACATCCGTTTCTCACATCAGTGACCTTTGTCTGCCTGCACCCTGGTTGGCAGTGCTGTGGGCGGGGGTGGCGGAGGGTCTTTGCCTTGCTGCTCTGGGGTGTGGTGACAGTGGCTGGGGCTGGTGGCAGCGGCAGGGCTGCTCTGGGCTCTCTGGGGTCCACTCTCCCAGCTTTTATTGGAATTGTTTGAAGTGGCCTGAGACCTGTCATGTGGTAGGTGGGGAGTATGGTCCATTTTGGCAGATGCTCCCTGCGCCCAGGAGGTGTGTTCAGTGAGGGTGGGGTGTCTGATGCCAGTGGTTGATGTGGCTGGTCGTGCTGTTTGTGTCTTCTGGACCCTTACTGGCTTCTGTCTAGCTGTTCAGGCAACTGTCAAGCGTGTTGAAGTCTTTGATTGTGGATTGTCTATTTCTTCTTTCAGTTCTGTGTTTTTTTAAACATATTTTGAAGCTCTGTGTCTAGAAGCTATGACTAATGACACATAATCATCAAAGATTATTATGCCTGAGGAATTGGCCCCTTCATCATTCTGAAATGGCCCTCTTTTCCTGGCAAAATGCTTTGCTTTGAAAGCAACACTGATGATCCTGGCCTGTGGTCTCTGGCTCGATGCGGGCGACGTGCTGAGGCCAGGTGTGGCCAGGACTGCCCCCGGCCAGCAGAGTGACCAAAGCCGAGACCCCGGGCTCCCATTGGTGCAACTGCCAGGTTGCTCCCGCAGAAGCACGAGGTGCGTGGGGAGCGGGTGGGCATGCTCTTTTTTTCTGACAGTCAGCCTTTTAATTAGGTGTTTACAGTTGATTTGTAACGACATTTAATGTGAATATTGCTGTGGTTGGGTTTAAATCTGCCACGTTGCCATTTGTTCCTATTTATCCCATCTGTCTGTTCCCTTTCCCCTTTTTTCCTGCTGTCTTTGGGTTACCTTTATGATTCCGTGTTGTCTCCCATATTAGGTTCTTGGCTACACCACTTTATTTACCTTTGTGTGATGGCTTGGGGACTATAGCAGACATCTTCCGTCTGCCCTGTCCCCCTCAGCTGTGACTCACCTCTTCACGGAGGCACACTTCCATCCCGTCTTGACCTTTGTGCTGTTGTTTGTCACATTTTACTTCCATATGAGGCCTAGACCCCGCAGTAAATCTCTATTTGTGCTTTAACATTCAACTCTATTTTAAAGATACGGTATGAAGACTTTCACGTTTGCGCACACGTGGTGGTGGTTTGTTGCTGTTCATTCCTTTGTGTGGTTCCGGTTTTCCATCTGGTGCTGGTCTCCGTCCTGCTGCAGGGATCCTGCAGCGTTTCCTGTTGTGGAGATGACTGGTCTCAGCTAGCGATGAATTCTCTCAGCTTTTGAATGCCTGAGAAGGTCTTCATTTTGCCTTTATTTTACAGTTTTATTGAAGTATCATTGACTTTTTTGTACTTTCTAGAATTTTATATAAATGGGATCATTGAGTTAATTTTTCGTTGTTACTTGAAATCTTTCACTCACTGTAATTATTTTGAGATTCACCCATGTTGTTGCAACACAGCTCCCTTATGTGCTGAGTATCACCTTTGTGTGTGCGCTGAAATATATGACACAAAGTTTGCCATTTTAACCATTTATAAGCATATAATTCAGTAGCATTAAGTACGTTCAAATGTTGTATAACTGTCACCACTGTGTCCAGAACTTTTTCATCATTTTCAGACCTCTTCTTCTTCCTATATACTCTGCTGTTCATCCCATCCAGTGTATTTCATTGCAGACATTGTCTTTTTTATCATTAGAAATTTGATGTAAGTCTTTTAAATGTCAAACAAGTCTCATAATGCTTATTTTTTCCTACACCTTCCTCAGCATATGGACATATAATAGTTATTTTAATGTCCTTGTCTACTAATTCTCTCAGAGGTCATTTCTGGGTCTGTTTTTATCAATTGCTTTTCCTCTTATGGTCATATTTTCTGTGTTTATTTTTGTTTTTAACTTTTCTGGGGTACTTGGGGAGTTTACATTGGATGCCAGCCATTATGAATTATACATGGTTGGGTGTTAGATTTGGGGATGTTCTTTCAACTCTTGCTAGGGGTTTTCTGGGATGCTATTACTAGCCCTGGGAACAGTTTGATCCTTTGAGGCTTGCCTTTGAGCTTTCTTGGGTGGGTTCAGAACAGCCTGTACAGGGTTGGCCTCGCTGGGCCCCACTGAGAACTCCACCCGGTGTGTTGTGAGTTGGGACGCCTTTCTGCCTCGGCAGATGTGAGCTCAGGATCCCACCATGCATGCTGCGCAGCCCGGCATGGACTGGGGTGGGCTTCCCTGATGACCCCACAGAGCTCGCACAGCTGTCTCTCGGTACCAGCACCAGGCTTTCCGGCTGCCTTGGCCTCTCTGCACACTAGATTTGCTCAACTCAGAGAGGTCCGTGGCCTTAGTGTAGATTTCTCCTCCCTTGACGGCTGCCTGGAAGCCCCAGCAGTCCCTGGGGCACCTGTAGGCCTTGCTCTGCTTCCTGCTCTGAGAACCCATCACGGGCTCGTGCTGCCTGCTGTTCAGTGACTGAAAACTATTGTTTCACATATTTTGTCTGATTGTCTGAGCCATTGCTTACATCAAGGTGGTAAATCCAACCTTGGGTGGAAACAAAATGGCATAATTGCTAATTTTGTATAAAAGTTTAACATTTTCTATTGGTTGTTTGGAAGATGTCTCTAGTGACTGTATTCCGACTCCTAGTTCAAGTGTGCCTCCATCCACACCAGATGGGCAGGTGTTTCGACATTGAATGATCATGGTGCTCACAGGCTGTGATGTCTGAGAAGCGCTAAAAGAAACCACACGGCTTGACAAGTGTTAGATTCTGGTGTCAGGTCTCATCTGTAGGCCCCATGCTGACGACTGTCAGGGAGCCTCACGCGCATGTTCTGCTTCCCAGCGCGAGTGCATCTCTATCCATGTGGGGCAGGCGGGCGTGCAGATCGGCAATGCCTGCTGGGAGCTGTACTGCCTTGAACATGGCATTCAGCCCGACGGCCAGATGCCAAGTGACAAGACCATTGGCGGCGGGGACGACTCCTTCAACACGTTCTTCAGCGAGACCGGGGCTGGCAAGCATGTGCCCAGGGCAGTGTTTGTGGATCTGGAGCCCACTGTGGTCGGTAGGCACTGGGCGCTGGGGGCAGCAGCTCTCCTGTGCGGGTGGGAGAGCCTCCCAAGAGCCCGTGTGCTCCTGTGAATCCCTCTGCAGAGAGGAC